CATAGTATCAGGACTTCACTCCTTCACTTCTGTCTCATGCTCCATTTCATAGCAGAAGTCCTTCAAGATTTCCTGTCTCTTTGCTCCCGCTTACAGCTGCGCCACACTTAACTATGTGGTTTCTTTTATTATGTTCTATGCAAAAAATAGCCTCCTTATTCCTTGTCTCCAAGCTTCCGGCCTTCCTTTCAGGCTTAGCCTTATCTTACAGTCAAGGCTGCCTTACATTTGGCAGCCTAAATTAATAATCCTAAAATGTAGGCTGTAAATGATTTGGGATCTTAACTTCTCCTTTCTCCTCTTTCTACAACCACTTCATCCTTCACTATGAGAGGTCTTTTCATCTTCTGCATTGTTCTGCAAAGAGTTCTGCAAACTCATAGATAGTTTACTAGATATAATAATAGACATAAAAGCATTTAAACATTGTTTACCTTTGAGGTGTACTGAAAGATGTCAGCAATAATCCGCATTGATGGCTCTGGGGGGAAAATGTATGTATTTCGGACCATGAACTCCTTCAATATGTCATTTTGGATTGTCCCTGTTAGTTTGGCTTGGGGTACTCCCTGCTCTTCTCCAGTTACAATGAACGTTGCCAACACAGGAATGACTGCTCCGTTCATTGTCATAGAAACTGACATTTTGTCTAAAGGAATTCCATCAAAAAGGATTTTGGTGTCTTCCACTGTATCAATGGCAACTCCAGCCATTCCAACATCCCCTCGAACTCGTGGATTGTCTGAATCATAACCACGATGGGTGGCTAGATCAAAAGCAACTGACAATCCCTGCTGGCCAGCTAGATGAAAAAAAAAAAAGAAAGAAAGAAAAAGAGAGAGAAAGAGAGAGAGAAATTGATTCAGAAGTGCTAAACACGCTTGCTTTAAAAAATGTGCCTAATTTTATTTTACATCATCTAGGCTTGGGTGATAAACCAATTTTTGACAATAAAAACTGTTCTCTCCCCAAACTTGTCCAAGGTTTTCTAATCTATGCACAATTTAGGCTTTAAATGAAAAAGCTTTTAACTGAGAAAAAAATATTGCAGTCCTTCAAGCTCAGCCACACAATCAAAATGTAGCTTAACAAATTACTGAATAGCAGTTTAGCCACAAGTTAAAAATGTGTATACATGGACAATATTGTGGTTCAGGTATGGTAACTGTACTTAGCTTAGCTGGAAACAAGTGTAGGTCACATTACGTCCTCTTTATCACAGATTAAACACACACACACACACAGAGATTGATACCCTGTATCTGCTCACATATGTTGTTTATTCCTAACAAGAAGTGCTGCATTACTAAAATCTGCAGTAAGAGGCAGTTATCCGTATAGCAGAAAATGGGCAGTTAGAGCTCTGGCAGACTCATCGCAATGACCTAAAAGAAATGCACAAAACTTTACTAACCATAGATGTTCACCAGGGTTGCTGTTCCTGAAAAAACTCTTATCTAATCTATTTGCAAACCAGCTACTCAACACGAGCAGAACTCTTGCCGGGTACCAGTTACCCTTGTTGGTCTAAAAAAGTGAGGTGTTAGCTTTGAAGCATAGCAACGACAGTTTAAATTCATATCCAGTTCACTGCCCAGTCCACTAATAGGAACTTCAGCGATTCTCAGGCTGGATAATTAATTCTCTTCCAGCATTTCTCTAATTACAGAGAGATTTGTAATTATATTATTTAAAATGCTTTACAAATAACTAGGCTGGATTCACAATCTATGCTAAAAAATTCAATATTAACACAATCATTAACACAAAAATAGACAAAATGACAACATCACAATGTCCCAATGTCAAAGCTTGAATAAACATGAAAAATTCCTGGCAACAAACACTCCTGATGAGCAATGCTACCAATATATTCAAACTTTAGCACTTTTACTTGAGCGGAAAGTTTGAGCAGTAACATAGAGTATATTCAGAAGTCTTTTTTTGTTTGCAAACCTTTAATACTTTATATTTGTGATTTCTTAATTTACTGGCATTTTCATTAACGCATAGAATCAAAAAGACATACTTGCAAGAATACAACAGCAGCTAACCTGCTTCATATTAGCTAACACCGGTACTGCAAACGGTAACTTCTCTAAACAAACCAACCAACCACCCCCTGGCCTCCCAAATATTGACATTTTGAGTAGGAAGGGCAGTAAAGCTTCCCAGATGTATTATTCAGAATGCCATTTTCAGTGGTCTGTTGTTTTGACTGGTAAGGTTATAATTAGCCACCCTTCAAAAGGCTGCTAGTTTTAACACAGTGGCTGTTATAAAAGAAATGCTGCACTCTGTCAGCATCAGACCACTTGTTAGTGGTGGTTTTGTGATCCATACCTCAGTAGTATATGATGATGAGGATACTCTGACTATTATCTAAAAGAACTGCTACAATGCACAGTACAGAAATACTGTGAAAACTCCTCTCAAACAAGGAAAATACCAACTTTTAGGAAGCTGGCTTTACAAGTATGCTATGAATTACCCTGTTCATATACATTTATTTGAGTACATTAGAAATTAACAATATGAGAGGGAAATCCAAAATGTTAGAATGCACTA